CCTTTACACAGCACAGCTTGAGATTGAATAATTTCACAAATAATAAAGTGGTTTAACCATATGTAGATAATTGAGAATTAACTACTCTGTTCTTAACTTCGCATCTGTTGGATAGTCCTGTCTTGCATGGCTATTGGACTCTTAAAAAACATTTTAAATGGTTTTGGCTCAGTAGACATGGCCAGATGTTTTCCATGCAGGCTGTTTTTACGCATATTGTGATTTTTTTAAGTGAAATGACATTTGTAGTAGCACCTGAAGATTGATCTTAGGAAATTGTTCTGTGCGGATGCAAAATGAATGAATTGTATTTCATAAAAGAATGATGGGGGAGGATTGGAGGAAGAAAGTACACCGAGCAGAGTGAGTGGTAATAAGAAGACTTTGTTTTAATTTGTTTTATTTTTTCTTGGTGGAAATTTCTCGAGATTATTATTGGCAACTTTTCCCTGCATGGGTTTCTTTTTTAGATTCAAATGCAAGTTTGTAATCATTTGCTTAATCATATTCTTGAACAAATTATAGGCAAGTTCTGTATCTATAACACATGACTTTCTGATGACAAAGCTCTTAGCTTCTTTATACAAATTACATCCAGTCCTGTAATTTCATCTGACTAATGTGATTTTCCAAAGCATGCCAGTTTTAGTTCATTCAGTTGTGATTTTTTTCAATCAATAACAATGAAAGATAAATCTTTCAACACCTATGGTAAGTATATGCTAGAGCATCATCTTTGAAACTTTCTTCCCACTCACTTCCTTTTTGGGAAAAAATAACTATTTTGTTTTAGCTATCCTCAATGCTTCTTTTTTATCACTGCTCACCAGTAATATTAGACAGGAGGCATTGTCTAAGGCACATTATCTTATCTTCATATGTCTATAATTTTAAAAACGCTTCCCTGCCCAGAAAATTGTTACTCTTTCCTTCAAGGCTCAACTCATAACTCCTTACACTTTTTAAAATTAAATTATAGCCCTGGCCGTTTTGGCTCAGCGGTTAGAGCGTCGGCCTGCGGTCCGGAGAGACCCGGGTTCGGTTCCCGCTAAGGGCACGTACTTCGGTTGCAGTTAGTCCCCGGCCCTGGTTGGTCGTGCGGGTGGCAGCCACTCGATGTGTCCCTCTCACGTCGATGTTTCTCTCTCTCTCTCTCCCTTCCACTCTATCTGTACAAAAATTGGAAAAATGTCCTCGGATGAGGATAAAAAAAAATAAAAATAAATAAATAAATAAATAAAATTATAGTTGGCATAACAATATTATATTAATTTCAGGTATATGAAATAGTGATTAGACATTTATATACCTTATGATGTGATCATCACCTTAAGTCTAGTAACATCAAGTGAAATGCAGTATTTGTCTTTCTCTGTCTCTTAGTCACTTGACACAGTTTGTAGTTGTGAGTTATGTAATTGTTTTATTATTGTCTGTCTCCACTCCCCACCACCACCCTTATAAGCACCATGAAATCAGGAACAATGTCTGTTTTTATTTATTTATTTTTATTTTTTTTATCCTCACCTAAGGACATTTTCCCATTTTTTGTTCAGGTAGAGTGGGAGGGAGAGAGAGGAAGAGAGAGAGAGAGAGAAACATTGACGTGAAAGGGACACATCGAGTGGCTGTCACCCGCACAACCCAACCAGGGCCGGGGACAAACTGTAACCGAGGTACATGCCCTTAGTGGGAACCAAACCCCGGTCTCTCTGGACCGCACGTCGACGCTCTAACTGCTGAGCCAAACTGGCAGGGCCAATGTCTGTTTTAATATACTCGGTCCCCAACATGTTTTTTGGTACTTAATTAATAAGTCAAAACATGACTTCAATATTATATCATTTCTGAATTCTTTCCTAATCCCTTCAACCACACTGCCTGCCATGCTAGGCTTAGTGTTGCTGGGGGATTGGAGCGCTGCACAGTGCTGGGGCCTTGAGAGCGCGCTTCCCAGGAGGCTTCTTCCAAGTCTCAGACAAGTGCTGGGTTGTGCTGCTCTGGTACAGGGGTGACATTCTTACCCCATTCTACAACCCCACTGACAGAATTGAACATTTCCTTTTCTGTATGTCCATGGACATTTTTTTTTTTTTTCCTCACCCGAGGACATTTTTCCATTTTTTGTTCAGACAGAGTGGGAGGGAGAGAGAGGAAGAGAGAGAGAGAGAGAGAAACATCGACGTGAAGGGACACATCGAGTGGCTGCCACCCGCACGACCAACCAGGGCCGGGGACAAACTGCAACCGAGGCACGCGCCCTTAGCGGGAACCGAACCCGGGTCTCTCTGTACCGTAGGTCGACGCTCTAACCGCTGAGCCAAACCGGCCAGGGCTGTCCATGGACATTTTTAAGTAACTCGATGGACCGACCAGACCTCCGGTTTGCTGAGTGTTCTGACATAATAATTAGTATTCCCCCTTTCATTCTCAAAAGTGTCCCAGCTGGGACTATAATTGAAATGGCCACCCTGTATAGAATTTTGTTTCAGCACTTTCTAGGGCCACTTCTAGCCATTTTTTTAAATTAGTTTGTGAGTTTTTTAGGATAGGATAGGTTCTGGTTTGTTTCCCTAGACCCAGGGCTTATCACAGTGTCTGGCACTCAGTGGCTGTTATTTATTTATTTATTTTTGGAGTGGCACAATATATTCAACATGATGGAAGACAAAACCTACAACCAAAATACTCCAGCCAGCAAGGCCAGCATTCAGAACTAAGGTGAGACAAAGATTTCCCCAGACAAGCAAAAGCCAAAGAGTTCATCACCACCACATCTGCACTGCAAGAAATGCCGAATGGAATTATTTTTTTAATTAAAACTTTTTGTGTTGACATTATTGCAGGTGTTCCCTTTTCCCCCCTTTGCCCATCTCCACCCATGACCACTTCCCCCTCCCTTGACCTTCACCAAACTATTGTCAGTATCCATGGAGTATACATATATGTTGTTCTTTTGAATAAAAATATATCCCTGCTATCTTTGCCTCAAGAGGTTTACACTGTAAAACAAAACAAAAACAAAAAATACATGACACCTACATACCTCCATAGGTTCTAGGAGAGACAAAAAATGTTTAAATTGTATTGCTGAAGAATTTGAACAGTAAATCCATGTGTATGTCTGCTACGTCATTTATTTCTCTTCCACTTGAGGTTACTGAGTAGGAAAGTTTCGCATAATAGTAATAGCTAGTCATTTCAATGAGGATTTACTATGTCGTGGGATTCTCTTATTTAAATTTGCTTTGTATGTCTATGTGAACTTGGTAAAGTGCTCACAGCAATGTCAATTTGGACAGGTAGTAAAGAAGGAGAAAAACATTCTATGCTCCACAAGCTAAGAGTAATCAAACATGTTTTTTACAAATACCTCTCATTTGCCAAGAAAATAAATATTTAGTCTTATAAACAGTTGTTAAATGGCTTTGGGGCTTTGAATAAATACAGGAAGAGTAATCTCAATGTTCTAGAAATTATTTTGAAGAGAATAAAATGTAAGTCAGATAGTAAATATGGAACTTAAACAGGGAATAGTCTAAATGAAATGGGTGTCTATGTGTTAGCTAATTCATTAAGTGAAACTATTGAAGTCATAAGTAGTAGTATAATCATCAGAGGAGTTACTATATGCTCTCTGAATGTCAATTCAGTGTGCGTATTTTGTTTCCAAAGGTGACTCTTCTACGTAAGCATGCAGTTGTCCATATTATTCTTAGATATAACTATTGTTAGCTTTTCCTCTTGTTTGTGTGAATAAGATTACAGTGTAGCTAGAAAGCCCTAGTACACTGATTATATAGATAGTCTGGTTTTAGATTAGTGAGCATAGCTGCTATCTGAAGAGCTTGTCAGTGCTCACAGGTCTACAACCTTTCCTCACCGTCAGTCTTCTTACTTTTTTCAATTGAACCCCTAGTGATGTCCGTTGCACCCTTTACATATTTTGAGAACCTACTATGTTCCGTTTACTTTCCTAAGCACTTTTCTTACTCATTGTATGTAATCCTTACCCTATGAGGTAACTGTCAGTATCCTCATTTTACATATGAGGAAAGTGAGACTCAAACTGAAGGAACCATTTTGGCCAGGATAGAACGCAAACCTGCTGGGACTGATGAGGTAGGTGAGAGAAGTTCAGAAATAAAGTTGTCCCTGATTCTCTTCTATAATTTATATATACTTTTAAATGTTCTGGTTTCTCATGCAAGTTGAGTCCATTTTCTTTCTTTCACAATATAAATAAATGAAAGTATATAAAAGAGGCTGAAGATACAATTCATGAGTGCACACGAACCTCTCTTCTTATCTGGAGCACACCTCTCTGTTACCCTTCTAGCTTGCTTCAGTCTCTTGAAAGCAATTGTAATGGTTTTTCCATTTCTCCAGTAGATAAAGTCCCTGATATTTTGCATAGAGTAGTGCTGGAAAGGTTGTACTCTTCAGGAGTGGGGCTCAGCTATAGCAAGAAGGATCTGGTGTGAGATCTAGACAACTTACCTGGCATAAAGGAAGGGAGAGAGTTCTTAGAACAATATCTGTATTTTTGCAGTCTGTTGAAATGCCATGTTTCTGTTTCTCAAAGTTGTCATAAGCAGTTAACTTTAGCTGTGATGTGCGTGTGTGTTGGGAAATTATAACATTAGTGCCACCACTGAAAGACTTATGTCTAGAATTATTAGAAAATTAAAAACTCTATATTTTTGATGCCGGGTTAGTCCAGCCATTTTAAGTAGAAAAATGCAATGTCAGACAACCTGTAGTTTCTTAGGAAGAAATCGCTCTATTCTAAAATGCTTTTCCAGAATTTTACTAAATAGGATTGTGGTATGTGTGTTCATTTTTAGGGACTGGTAACATCTGAACATACCAAACCAAACAGACAAACTTTTGCATCACCACTACCACCACGGTGTACCACAAAGAAATGCTACTGCACCTGGATTGCAAGCAGGCTAAAAATAAAAAGAGTTGATTAGATCTCAGACCCACTGAACGGGATGACGGCCACGGCTGCAGTGGAGACACCAAAGATGAAGAAGAGTGCCTCCAAAGAAGAGAAGCAGCAGCCTAACCAAGACAGCACGAAGCAGGGCAGTGCTGATTGTGAAGAGTGGATGAGCTCAGAGAGTGACCCTGAACAGATAAGCCTTAAGAGTGGCAACAACAATGACAATAGCTGCCAGCCTAGAGCTGTTCAGTTGAAGAAAAAGGAGATTCCCTCCAAGCCACACCGCCAGCTCTGTAGATCACCCTGCCTAGATCGTCCAAGCTTCTCCCAGAGCAGCATTCTGCAGGATGGGAAGCCTGACTTGGGAAAAGAATACCAAGCCAAGATGGATTTTGCTCTAAAGCTGGGCTATGCAGAGGAACAGATTCAATCAGTGCTGAACAAGCTGGGCCCAGAATCACTTATTAATGATGTATTGGCAGAGCTTGTCAGACTGGGGAACAAAGGTGATTCGGAAGGGCAGGTCAACTTGAGTCTGTTAGTGCCTCGGGGGCCCAGCTCCAGAGAGATGGCAAGTCCTGAACAGTCTCTTGAAGATGAAATAGACAGCAGTGACAATTTGAGGCCAGTTGTCATCGATGGAAGTAATGTGGCAATGAGGTAAGACTGGTATATTTTCTCTATCTTTAAAAGTGCCCTGAGCTCATAGAAATTCCCAAGGACTGTGAGAGGCCCTTGGTTGTTGTCTGTAGCTTGTGCTCCTCTAGGTGGACAGAGGCTAAAATGATTCTGCCCTGGCCTTCTCTCTCTATCCTTTGAAATTGTTGCCAATTTGTTTTCAGGTGTTCTAAAAGAAGCCAAGACATCAGTGATGCTTCAGAGAAGACATACCCATTTAGCCTTTGGTTTCCTTGGAGCCCCCTCTTGCACCTATACTTGGCTAGACCAGTTATTCTGAGAATGTTGCTTTTATTTTATTTTTTTTATTTATTTTATTTTTTCCCAAATAAGAGCCGTTTATTAGCTGGCCGGCGTCTGATACTGAACACCCCTGTGACAGAGTCTTCGGAATCAGCCTAGAATGTTGCTTTTATAATATGACTTGAAGGCGTACTTGGGAACTTACAGTAACTCCCAATTGCCATTGCTACCAAATTTGGATCCCTCTGCCTGGCTTTGTGATACAACCTTTTCTTTCTCCCATTTGATTATATCTCTCACACTTATTGCATTTACATCAGTCTCTTAGCAGGAACTTGTTGCCCTGGCCAGTTTGGCTCAGCAGTTGGAGCATCAGCGTGTGGACCAGAGAGTCCCAGGTTCAGTTCCTGCTAAGGGCACGTACCTCGGTTGCTGTTTGTCCCCGGCCCCAGTTGGGGTCGTGTAGGTGGCAACCAGTCGATGTGTCTCTCTCGCATCGATGTTTCTCTCTCTCTCTTCCCCCCTCCTTCCCTCTCTATCTGAAGATAAATGCAAAAAAAACAAAAACAAAACAATCTCCTTGTAAATTATGCTGCTTTTATGCCCACTACTTGTGTTCATGTAATTTCCCAACCTAGGGGTGACCTCCTCCTTATCTTCATACCCTTCATGTTATACCACCTCCACAAACAACATTCTGATTTTTCTGGTCTCAGTGATTATCTCTGAGCTGCAGTACTTAGGGTAGGCTGAATACTGTCTCCCTAAATGTGTCTACATTCTAATCCCTGGAATCTGTAAATATGTTATTTTACATGGTAAAAGGGACTTTGCAGATATGATTGAGGTAAGGATCTTGAGGTGAGGGAGATTATCCTAGATTATCAAGGTGGGCTCAGTATAATCACAACGGTCCTTAGAAGAGTGAGGGAGGTAGCAAGATTAGAATGAATAGTAGGAAACGTGATGACAGAAAGAAGAGTTTAAGAGTGATGTAAAAAATGAGCCATAAGCCAAGAAATGTGGGCAGCCTCCAGAAGCTGAAAAGGGCAAGAAACGAAGTCTGCAGAAAGAATACAGCCTGCCCAGCCACTGTGGCTCAGGGGTTGAGCATCCACCCATGCACCTGGAGGTCGCTGGTTCAATTCCCGGACAGGGCACATGCCCAGGTTGTGGGCCCCATCCCCCTGTAGGGGGTGTGCAGAAGGCGGCCAATCGATGTTCTCTCTCATTGATGTTTCTATTTCTCTCTCTCTCTTTCTACCTCTCTCTCTAAAATCAATAAAGAAAAAAAGAAGAAAAGAGAATACAGCATTGTCAACACTTTTATTTTAGACTTCTGACTTCCTGAACTACAAGAGAGTAAATCGCTGTGATTTTAAGCCACTGAATGTTAACATCAGCAATAGGAAAGTAATACAGAACCAAGAGTGCCTTCATACTTTATTCCATATTCTCTCATATAATTTATTTTAATTTCACATCAGACAGCCCTAGAAATTCCTTCTGTTTCTCAAATGAGTTGTCGTCCAAGTTTGGCTTCAACATTCCCAGTGATCAGGAGCCAACTTTCTATTGAGTCCACCATTGCTTGATGAGCTCACTGGGATTCTTAGACTGTACACGATCAGAACAAAATTTTTATTTGACTATCCTATTATTTTTGAGGGCAGGGACCTTGTTTTATGCCTCCCTTGTTTTCCCCACAGCACATAGCACAGTATTGGATGCTCCCACAGAGATATGAGGGAGCAGGAATAGGGGTAAGTCTTACAAACCATATCATTGCTATATTCATGAGTTGCTTAGCAGAGTATCTGGAGGTACACTTTAATATATAATTCTATGTAATCCTCACAGCAAATTTATTTATTTATCTTTATTGATATTAGGAAGGAAGAGGGAGAGAGAGAGATGGAAACAGTGATGAGAGAGAACATCGATTGGCCACATCCTACATGCCCCTCACTGGGAATTTGGCCCACAACCTGGGCATGTGCCCTGACCGGGAATGGAACCAGTGACCTCCTAGTGCATGGGTCGACGCTCAACCACTGAACCACACCAGCTGGGCCACAGCAACTGTATTTTACAGATGACAAAACTAGAGCTCAGCAAAATTAAGTGACTTCCTTGAAGTCTTGCTATAGCTAGTAAGTAGCAAAGTAAGCACTTGAACTTAAGTCTCTGGCTTCCAGTTAATGAAATTAAACTAACATTTATAAATATACATTTTTAGCAGGTCCTTTTGTATTTGTAATCCAATCCTCACTAAAAACCCTGTATGAATGGACTAATTCAGTTCATTTTTGTAGGTAAGGAGATTCAGGTTCAGAGAGGTTGAGTAACTGCCCAAGGTTGCACAAGTAATAATATAATTGACAAAACTTTTGTCAAAACCTGAATCTGACTCCAATGCCCCTTTGACAATATCGTGCAACACTATGTGGCAATTTGTGTTATTAAGAATACTTGGTTAGTATTCAGTGGTTAGGCCCTTAGACTAAAGGGTCGCTAGTTCTATTCCAGTCAAGGGCATGTACCTAGGTTGCAAATTTAATCCCCAACCCTGGTCAAGGTCGTGTGGGAGGCAACCAATCAATGTGTCTCTCTCACATCCATATTTCTCTCTCTCTCTCGTGTGGGAGGCAACCAATCAATGTGTCTCTCTCACATCCATATTTCTCTCTCTGTCTCTCTCTCTCTCTCTGTCTCTCTCTCTCTCTGTCTCTCTCTTTCTCTCTCTCTCTCTCTCTCTCTCTCTCTCTCTCTCTCTCTCTCTCTCCCTCCCTCCCTCCCTCCCTCCCTCCTTTCCTCTCTCCCGGTCTATCTGAAAATCAATGGAAAAATATCCTCACGTGAGGATAAAAAAAAAAAAAAAAGAATACTTGGCATTCCTCCTAGGAATAGATAATACATTTACAGAATTCCTTTTTCAAAACTTTTCACTCATGACAGCATCATTGCAAGGTGGGTAAAGCAGGCTAGACATCTCCTCTCTTTTAATGAGAGGAAACTAGAAGCATAGTAACAGAAGTTAAAACATCTGTACACAAAACAATAATGATGCACTGGGCCAGTGGAAAGCAGAGGGTGGTTTTTTGTTTTCCTAAGGACCAAAGGTAACTGCTCCCCTCCTAATGGGCATAAACTAGAGTGATTCTTGAGAGGAAGCAGTATGGCATCTGCTACATTCAATCTCTTATCAGATCAGACAACCCTAAACACCTTAGACTGGACTTAGGGTTTTATGTTTTGGAGGTGGGGATGAGAAGAACCTAGGACTTCTTTGAGGACTTTAAGTTCATGGTGAAATACAATCTTCCTTGTCTTTGGATTTTTATTGAAGGATTCATAGTTATGAAGGATACCATATGGTTCTTTTGCTTTGAAAGGAATAATGGAGAATTAATTACCAAGGTAATTTTAACATACTTAGTCTGTGCCAGTAGCAAACTGTCATACCAATAGGAAGATTAACTTTTGTCTTTTGTAAAAATTGACAAATTTAGTATCTTTACTAAATTAAAGATATCTCACAATTTAAATAATGCAAAAATGCTGACCTTATTTTTAGGAGTATATTAGAATAGTGCATATGAGTCTAATAGTGGAATGCATGCTTTTGTTTTGTCCTTGTTAGCATCTCTTCCCCTGTTTGATTGGGTAAGTTACTGATGAGTCCCATTTATTCTGCAATCACATTTTACATGCTCAAAGTTCAGCACCATAGTCAGTTTATAAATTTGTTAGTGCCATTCATCTAAATTTGGTTTGTTTTCCCCATTGGTTAGCTGTAACTTTGTCAGGATTGGTACTTCTTAGACAAACTAAATAATAACATCTGTTCTTCATTAGCATGTTGGATAAGCCTGCATTGACATTATAATGCTTCGTTTGTCATTGACAGCATATGTTTAATATTTGCAGTAGTGGTGTACCTGTGATTTACACACTGATATATGCTGCGATACTAAATGATGCGTTCATTCTGTAAGCTGTCTCTTTTGGGAGGAAAAATCCATTTCAGGGAAATGTGCCCTGACTGGGAATCGAACTGGTGACCTCTTGGTGCATGGGTCGACGTTCAACCACTGAGTCACACTGGCCGGGCTAACCCTATTTTTTAAAAAGCTCAGAGGGAGAGGCCAGTGACCCATCAGCTAGGTAGAATTTGGTTTGGAGTCTGAATCATGGTATGTGTACAAGTACGCTGGTTTAAAGGACAAAGTGAGCTGTGATGTCACCAAGACACTCTGTGACTTGCAGGTCCTAGGCTTTTAGACTGCATTTTAGACAGGCTTTTAGGTCCTAGCTATTTTTAATCCCCAAAAGACTTTTTTGTGTGTGTGGGTTTAGGCTAAAACAAGTCATCTTGGCAAACATTACTTTATTTCAATCTTTTTATTTATTCATTCCTTAAACATTTATTGAGCACTACACTTTGCATACTGAGCCCTTATGTAGGATTTCATTACCACCTTGATAAATGTGGAAAATGAATGCTGATTCCTTTTGGGCATTTGATGCACTTCAAGGAATGTCCCAATGGCATGGTTTTAATATGTTTTCAATGGAATGCTATAGATATTTTACATTTTCCTTAACACGATACTGCTCAATATGCTAAAAAATTGATATCAGAATACAGATGCATCAAAATATTGAGAAGTTCTACCCTGGCCGGTTTGGCTCAGCGGTTAGAGCATCAGCCCGCAGACCAGAGAGAACCGGGTTCAGTTCCCACTAAGGGCACGTACCTCGGTTGCAGTTTGTCCCCGGCTTTTAGATTGCATTTTACACCCCAGTTGGGGTCGTGTGGGTGGCAACCAGTCCATGTGTCTCTCTGACATTGATTTTTCTCTCTCTCGTCCTGCTCTATCTGAAGATACATGCAAGAATGTCCTTGGGTGAGGATTATATATATATATATATATAGAGAGAGAGAGAGAGAGAGAGAGAGAGAGAGAGAGAAGTTCTTATCTCTAGGTGGTTGTAAAACAGATTCTGCAGGATTTTTTTAATAGTTTATGTATTTTACACATTTTCTACCATAAGTATATATTGCTTTTAAGTTCTTTTTTTTTTCATCCTCACCAGAGGACATTTTTCCATTTTTTGTTCAGGTAGAGTGGGAGGGAGAGAGAGGAAGAGAGAGAGAGAGAAACATCGATGTGAAAGGAACACATCGAGTGGCTGCCACCCGCACAACCGACCAGGGCCGGGGCCAAACTGCAACCGAGGTACACGCCCTTAGCGGGAACCGAACCCGGGCCTCTCAGGACCGCAGGCCGACGCTCTAACCGCTGAGCCAAACTGGCCAGGGCTATATTGCTTTTATAATGATAAAAAATAATTTTAAACAAATAATTTGGTAATATAAAATATAAAGTTGAAGTACCCAATAGCAAGTGTTACTCTTGTATTTATTCTTAGTTTTACACTGTTTTTGAGACTACATACTTTATAGCACCGCAGAGACAAGTGAAATTAAATCCCATCCCATTTCTCCAAATTTCTCCTCTAACGGAAATTCTAATGATTTTTCGGAATTCATGTTATTCTTACACTTACCATTATTACAGCAGTGGGAAAAATCACAGCTGGACATTTTCCCTACAAGCCAGTTTCATGCTGGGTTGATCCAATATTAACACTTTAAGAGCCATGGTCTTGCCCAATTTACCCACAGTTCAACTTTTTGGAAGCAATCAGTGGTAGCTGTCTCTAAGGCTACCTTGGAGTGTATTGACATTTGAATATGTTTTCTTTTTCTTTTTTTTCACTTTAAGTGCTTTGACTTTTAGTACAGCAGTATAATTGCTTTATGGTACTCACTGGAGAGTTTTAAACAGGATTAACATGTTTGGAAACGTTAACAAGGGCATTTAATAAATTTTTGTCATGTGCCTCAAGAGTGATAAGACTGTGGGAAGTCTTGAAGTGCATGTATTAATGGGGCCCCTGAGATTATGTGTGAATTCACCCAATGGGAACAATATAATTAGAGCTAATTTATCTTGTAGTTGAGTGATTATCAGTGAGGAAGTGAGGAATCTAAAGAGAGAACCCCAATCACATTGTCTTAATTAGACTTGTAGCAAAATGGTTCTTTTCTTCTGAGCAGTCTCGTTTGACAGGTGATATCCAGTTATTGCAATGGAATTGCTACATGGAAGCCAACTTGTTTTACCATCCAAGCTGTTTAAATTTACTGTAATTTATTATGGTTTATGTATATATCAAAGCACCAGATTCCATGCTAAGAGATCAGAATTTTCACAGGCAAATTAATACACCATTTTTGAGTTTTTAAGATGAGAATAAATATATCTTTTTCCAATTCGTCTGCTAATTTTCCCTCTTCCAATTTCCGATCAAATGAATTACAGTGTTTGTTCCTATAAGTAATTGTGATACGTCTTCTCTTTTTACATCATGACCTAATTTTAAAAGGAATACTTAATTTTTGAAGGAATTTTGGAATTAGAGAAAGAAAATAAATCACTTAGAACCCTCTCACACAGAATAACAATTTTTATTAATATTTCGATGCATCTATGTTCTAGTATTTTCTAGGCTTATTCATAGACTGTTTTCTACAAAGTTGGGATTACATTATATATACTAATCTGTATCCTTTCTTTTCTCTTTTATTATATTAAAGCATTTCTCAAATCTTAAAATTTGCAATAATGTGATTTTTATTAACGTATTATATTTAATTAAATGTGATAACTGTTTTCCATCAGTGTTTATGTATGTGTCTTTTTCACTGTCAGTGTTGTTTTTTAAGTTTAATATATGTACTTAAGACTCATCTCTAACTAATCCTCCATATAAACTTTATCTGAACCTCTGGTGACATCTCTTCTTTTTCATCTGTTAAGAATATCCAAGTCTTTGAAAAGAAGGTGAAAATAGAAACTGAAACAGAAGAGAAAAAATTGAAGTAGTGATAGGAAATAACCTATAACTATAATTTGGGAATTGTTTTTAACCATCTGTGACCTTGAATAGAGGTATAATAACGGTAATATTTGTAATGATGGAATAAAACATAATTTGAGTTGCTCTTTTTAAAAATACATTTTTGGCATTATCAAGAAAGAAAATGTTTGTTAATATCTTGCTGAAACTGGACACAATGGGTCCGAGGCCGCCTGTCACTCCTTTAGCCAAATTAAGCAGAGACAGGGTTGAATCATATATGAACATTTATTCCACTAATGCCAGCAGTATCGGGAAATCAGTCAGTCATCCTCACTTCTGCTCTAACTCGTCCTAGTAGTTGGCTGGTTATATAGAGATAAGTAAGAAGGGGCTGCGTGCAAGAGGGGAAGGGGCAGGGGGAGGGCTGCAGGGCCTGTGGTCTGTGTGTCTCCTTCAGGATCTTGAAGTCCGATAACAAGGTAGTTAATTTTCTATGATGTTGAAACAGCTCCACCCGTTCCTGGGACCAGAGAATGGTCAGCATTCCTGAGGCAAACTCCCAGAGGGGGTCAGGGTCCAGGCACAGCAACCACGTCAAAGTGTGTCCTGTCCTTGGCCTGTTCTCAAAATGTATTTTCTTTTCTGAGCAATGGACCATCCAGCCTTCAAGGCATCTTATCTTTTTACAGCCCTGTTTGTCTTCTTGCAGCACGTCCTCCAGTTTCCCAGGGTCTGTAAGAAAACTTCTTATCTACAGTGAGTCAAGTGAATGATCACTAAACAACGGTGGTCCTGTTCCTATGACGTGCCCTCCCCCCTATCATTGCTACTAAGAAAAAGCCTGTTTATAGTTTCTTTGCAACCTGTTATCAGTCCTCTCCTCTCACTTTTGTCTTTCTAAAGCCATGGGAATAAAGAAGAGTTCTCCTGCAGAGGAATACAACTTGCTGTGGACTGGTTTCTAGATAAAGGCCATAAAGATGTTACTGTATTTGTGCCTGCATGGAGAAAAGAGCAATCCCGACCTGATGCACCAATTACAGGTACGGTATTAAATAAGACTATTCTCATCTAGAGCAAGGCTAGCAAGATGGTTTGGGAAGATGTTAATGGTCCCGATTTAGATAATTGTTTTTATAAGTTTATTAAGTATACTTAAAATGTGTTCAACTAAGTGTCTTTTAAGCATATTTTACCAAATAAAACCATCATTCTGTTATGGCATACAACAGTGAAATGGAGACAACTTCAGTTCAGCAAAGAATCCACACAGTTGGAAAAAAAAGTGTGCTTTTCTATTTTACCATAGACTTCAGATTAAAGGAGGATAAATCTAGTTGTGAACGTGACTGTTTTCCAAAAGACTAAAAAACTTGATAGAAAAGGAATCTCATCCTATGCCAGAGAAGTGACTGTGACATTTGAAATCAGGGGGTAGAATATAGAGAGAGAAGCCCAAGGCAGTCCGAGCCAACTTATCCTGAGACATGGTAGCCCCAGGGTCCAGGGCCCACCATACTTTTAGGGTGTCACAGAAATGTTTTAAATTATTTTAAATTATTATTTTTTAATCCTCACCTGAGGACATGCTTAGAGAGAGAGAGACAGAGAGAGAGAGAAACATCAATGTGAAAGAGAAACATCCATGGGTCACCTTCTAGAAATTCCTCAACTGGAGACCTGGATCCCCAACCCAGGTATGTGCCCTGACCAGGAATTGAACTGGCAACCTTTTGATGCACAGGACAACACTTGATCAACTGAACCACTCTGGCCTGGCAGAAATGTTTTAATTTTCTTTTCTTTTTAACATCAGGAGGAAAAAGTGAATATAACAGTGAATGAATAATAATGTATCTAACTAGATTATTTTGTCTCTATACCAGTGCGGTTGTAAAGTATACTTTTTAATATTTCTTTACGAAAGAAGAACCCATGAAAGCAAAACTGCCTAGGGTCCACAAAAATGATATGCAGCCCTAATGGCAGAAGGATCACTATATTCACTATCAACAGTATGTGAAACTAGCTCTTTACATTTGAGAGCATATAGACCCCAGTCCTCTGAGTATCAGCTGTTGCCTGATGTGGCAAATGAGAAAGTCCAGTTAATGGCTGTTGGAACTGTGTCATGGAGCTGTCTGCCAGAGGCTGAACAGTCTCCCAGCCTCAGTCTGAGAGTGGATTCTGGCCCTGCTTGTACCCAGCCTTTCTTTCCTCAGCAATTAAGAGGCAAAAGGAAATAGGGTCAGTATCGACATGCTGCAGCTTGATGTTTTCCCTTAGCTGTGGCCTTCCTCTAGGCAGAAAGCAAAAATAGAAGTCCCTAGGAGTGATGCCTTACTCTCCTGGTGGCAGACACATTCTCAACACACTGCCCTGTTTTCTTCAGCAGCCAAAAGCTGGTTCTTCAGCCAAAGAGGAAAATAAACACGAAGAATTCTAGAATATCACTGTTATTTCTTACTCTTCGTGGTAGGTTTAAAACTTAGCTGTCATTGAATCCAGTTCCTTCATTTTTTTAAATCCTCACCCGAAGATTGTTTTTATTGAAAAAAAATTTTTTTAGAGAGAGAAAGGGAGACACAGAGAAAGAAACATCAATGTGAGAGAGGCACATTGATGCGTTGCCTCCTGTATGCACCCCAACTGGAGATTGAACCTGCAATCTAGGTATGTGCCCTGACCAGGAAGTAATCCTGCAGTCTTTCAGTTTATGGGACAACGCTTCAACCAACTGATCCACACCAGCCAGGGCTCCAGTTCCCTCGTTTTATTGAAAAGAAAACTGAGGCCCAAAGGGGAAGGCAACTTGTCTAAGGTCACAATCCAAATCTGTGCTATAGCCAGGAATAGGGGCCACTTTCTCTCTAAGGGAAAATAATTATCTAGTACCAGCTTGTCTATTTGTAATGTGGGGATAATGTCATTAATTTCCAAAGATAATTTCTACTCTGTAGCATATAATCTATATTTCGACAGATCAAGATATCCTACGAAAACTGGAGAAGGAAAAGATTCTTGTCTTCACTCCATCCCGAAGGGTCCAAGGCAGGAGAGTTGTCTGCTACGATGACCGGTTCATAGTCAAACTGGCTTTTGATTCCGATGGCATCATTGTATCTAATGATAACTATCGAGACCTTCAAGTTGAAAAGCCAGAATGGAAGAAGTTTATAGAAGAGCGATTGCTGATGTATTCTTTTGTGAATGACAAGTACGTTTCTTTCCTGTAGACTCTGAATAGCCCAAATCCAAGTTAACACTAGGAATAGATTTCATTTCATGTCAGTAAACATTTACAGAACACTTACTGTGTACTGTGCATCATACTGGCTGTCATGGGGATAAAATGCTGGATAAGAAATAAGACTTAGCCTTACAAAGAGACAACCACAGTGTGTTGCGATATGTGCTATGGTTACAATTTTTTAAATTGCTTTATGTGAAATGATAGGAAAAGGCCTCACAGAGAAGATGACATTTGAAATGAAGTTTACAGACAGAGGAAAGGGGGCTGCAGGGTATTACAGGTAAAGGGGACATCATGAATAAAGCTATAAAGGTGTGAATATGGGTTTCATGTTGAGGAAAACAGCACGCATACCAATATGGCTGTAACATATAGTCCATGGAAAAATTATGCACAGGAAAAACCATTCCTTTTTCTGTGGCCAAGTGGGACAGAGAAAAATTGCTGGCTCAGCACAAAATAGTCGAGAATGTAAGGGCAATTACAAGGCTGTGATAATAGTATAGGCCAGAGTAATGAAGGTCTAAACTTCTGATAAGTGGTGGTGGGACCAGAAGGGAATAAATTCACGTCTTGCTTGCTTGCTTTCAGATTTATGCCTCCAGATGATCCTTTAGGACGCCATGGACCAAGCCTTGAAAATTTCTTAAGAAAGAGACCTGTTGTTCCTGAACACAAGAAACAACCATGCCCTTATGGTGAGTACCTATGTGCAAAACAGTTCTGTGCTAAGGGAAACGTAAGGACTCTGTGAATACTCTTCAAGATTTCCCTTTCAAATGGGTAGCTCTGGCTTGTCCACTTTCTGTGAGTTAAAGTCTGTGTCTTCACGTAATCTCATTTAAGTATTTAAAGAAACATCTAAGAAACTGCATGGCAAAAAAGGTAACTACGCCCTGGCCGGTTTGGCTCAGTGGTTAGAGTGCCGGCCCGTGGACGAGAGAGACCTGAGTTCGGTTCCCACTAAGGGCACGTACCTCGGTTGCAGTTTGTCCCCGGCCCTGGTTGGGGTCCTGTGGGTGGCAACCGGTTGATGTGTTTCTCTCACATCGATGTTTCTCTCTCCCTCTTCCCCCCTTTCTCCCTCCCGCTCTATCTGAAGATAAATGCAAAAATGTCCTTGGGTGAGGATTTAAAAAAAAGAAAAAAGGTAACTAGAATTTGAAAGATTTGTTGTCACTTGTTAAAATGATGCACGTGTTCTAGCTGCCTCTGTTCCGAGCAGTGTTGCTGGGGCAGACCAGCGCAGAACCCCATAGGCCTACAGAAGCAGAAAGGAGAATAACAAACTGGGTTCTGCCCCCAAGAAAGACATGTCTCTCATGCAAATGATTGCACCCTCGGTCAGCTAACAAATACTCTTCTCCTCAGATCTGTACTTTCCAGTTTGCTTCTAAACCCTGATTTCATTTACTTTAAAAAAAATTTTATTCTTTATTGATTTTAGAGAGGAAGAGAGAGGAGGGGAGAGATGGAAATATCGATGAGAGAGAACATTGACTGGCCGCCTCCTGCATGCCCCTCACTGGGGATCCGGGCCCACAACCTGGGCATGTGCCCTGACCAGGAATTGAACTGGCGACCTCTTGGTGCATGGGTCAACGCTCAACCACCGAGTCACACCAGCCAGGCTCATTTACTTTTTAAAAATACAGTTTTATAGAGTACTTTCATGATCTTACCCAAGTCCCTCTGTTACAAAGTTTGTGAGCCTAACAGTGCCACATGGGCTGCCTGGTCCGAGGCTACTTTGGATGTTCAGCCTTTTTAGGTAATCATTTGTTTATGGGACATCTGGGTTTTTGTTCTCAATTAACATTTATTTAAAGAAGTGCTACAAAGTACTTTTTAAAATTTTTTTTAATTGATTTTAAAGAGAGAGGAAGGGAGAGGGAAAGATAGAAACACCAAAAAAATTTTTTTTAAAAAGGCCAACCCTGGCCGGTTTGGCTCAGCGGTTAGAGCGTCGGCCTGCGGTCTGGAGAGACCCGGGTTCGGTTCCCGCTAAGGGCATGTACCTCGGTTGCAGTTTGTCCCCGGCCCTGGTTGGTCGTGCGGGTGGCAGCCACTCGATGTGTCCCTTCACATCGATGTTTCTCTCCTCTCTCTCTGTTCCTCTCTCTCCCTCCCACTCTACCTGAACAAAAAATGGAAAAATGTCCTCAGGTGAGGATAAAAAAAAAAAAAAAAAAAAAAAAGGCCAACCCTGGCCGGTTTGGCTCAGTGGTTAGTGTCGGTCCGCGGACCAGAGTCCCGGGTTCAGTTCCCGCTAAGGTCGTGTACATCGGTTGCAGTTTGTCCCCGGCCCCAATTGGGGTCGTGTGGGTGGCGACCAGTTGATGTGTCTCTCTCACATCGATGTTTCTCTCTCTACCCCTCTCTCTTCCTCCCACTCTATCTGAAGATAAATGCAAAAAAAAAAAGACAGTGTTGCTCAGTGGTTGAGCATGGACCCATGCATCAAGGGGTCGCCGGTTCCATTACTGGGCAGGGCACATGCCCAGGTTGTGGGCCCAATCCCCAGTGGGGGGCATGCAGGAGGCAACCAATCAGTGTTCTGTCTCATCAATGTTTCCATCTCTCTCCCTCTCCCTTCTTCTCTGTCTAAAATCAATAAAGAAAAAAAAAGAAAGAAACATCGATGAGAGAGAACATCGATTGGCCGCCTCCTGCATGCCCCCCACTGGGGATCGGGCCCACAATCTGGGCATGTGCCCTGATTGGGAATCGAACCAGCGACCTCTTGGTGCATGGGTCAACGCTCAACCACTGAGCCACACCGGCCGAGCTCAATTAACATTTATTTAAATTATATTTTCATGTTTGTTATCTTCATTTAAACTTCACAATGACCCTATAATATAGGCATAATTGCAAACCTGTTCACAGAAGAGGAAAATGAGGCTCAGGAAGTGAAGTCACTTCCTAAGGTCACACAGCTAGTAAGTGACATAGCTGGCATTGAAACGTAGCTCTGACTGGCCTCCTGCCGGCGTCTGCCCTGCAGCACCTCAGCCGAGGCAGAGTTGGGAAGTAGAGGAAAGCGAAGCCTGTCCAGCTGCTTGGCTCCTCGCTCTCACAGTGCAGTTTCCTCCCAGCTTCCTTCTTGTCGTCTTTCCCGTCTCAGTGTGTGATGCCTCCTTGGTGTTGTCTGTCTCTCGTCTTTACAGAAAGTTCCTTTTTTGCTTTAACCCCACACAATAAAACTGTAACCTGAGTGACCAGATTGTTATCATAGTTTCTGACCCAGGGAATTGAAACACTATGAGAGAGGTCTTACCCCAGGGCATTATTTTTCAGGCAAAAAATGCACCTACGGCCACAAGTGCAAATACTACCATCCGGAGCGGGCCAACCAACCCCAGCGTTCGGTGGCTGATGAGCTCCGCATCAGTGCCAAACTATCCACAGTGAAAACCATGAGCGAAGGTACCCTGGCCAAATGTGGCACAGGGCTGTCTAATGCCAAAAATGAGATAACCTCAGAAGTCAAGCGTGTGGCCCCTAAACGCCAATCAGACCCCAGCATCCGGTCCGTGGCTATGGAACCTGAGGATTGGCTGTCCATTTCCCGTAAGCCTGAGGCCAGCTCTGTTCCCTCACTTGTGACTGCCCTAAGTGTCCCCACAATCCCACCTCCCAAAAGCCATGCAGTGGGTGCACTCAACACCCGTTCGGCCAGCAGCCCAGTGCCAGGATCCTCTCATTTTTCTCACCAGAAGTCCTCATTGGAGCACATGGCCAGCATGCAGTACCCCCCCATCCTGGTTACCAACAGCCATGGGACCGCTATTAGCTATGCTGAGCAATACCCAAAGTATGAGTCCTTGGGGGACCACGGCTACTATTCAATGTTAAGTGACTTCTCCAAAATGAACATGAACAGCATGCATAATCGAGAGTACTACATGGCTGAAGCAGACCGGGGGATGTATGCCAGGAATCCCAGTCTCTGTCCTGATAGCCGTATGAGCCATACCAGGAATGACAACTATTCCTCGTACAACAACCTGTATTTGGCTGTAGCCGATGCCCATCCTGAAGGCAGTTTGAAGCTACATCGCTCAGCATCTCAAAACCGTCTTCAGCCTTTTCCTCATGGTTACCATGAAGCCTTAACACGAGTGCAGAGCTATGGCCCAGAGGATTCTAAGCAAGCCCCCCACAAGCAGTCAGTCCCCCATTTAGTTCTGCATGCCCAGCACCCAGCAACTGGAGCACGCTCCAGCTGTCCTGGAGACTACCCCATGCCTCCCAATATCCATCCTGGGGCAACCTCCCAGCCAGGGCGTGCCCTGGTGATGACTCGGATGGACAGCATTTCTGACTCCCGCCTCTATGAGAGCAACCCCATGAGGCAAAGACGACCTCCTCTGTGCCGAGAGCAACATGCCAGCTGGGACCCACTGCCTTGTGCAGCCGACTCCTATGGCTACCACTCCTATCCCTTGAGTAACAGCCTCATGCAACCATGCTATGAACCAGTCATGGTACGGAGCGTGCCTGAAAAGATGGAGCAGCTTTGGAGGAATCCTTGGGTTGGAATGTGCAATGATTCCAGGGAGCAGATGATCCCAGAGCACCAGTATCAGACCTACAAGAACCTCTGCAATATTTTCCCTTCCAACATCGTCCTTGCAGTGATGGAGAAGAATCCCCACACAGCAGATGCCCAGCAGCTGGCAGCCTTGATTGTTTCTAAGCTTAGGGCTGCACGTTGATGTGACACAGGACACATTCCTTTATACAAATATGAATATCAATACTAATGCACTAATACTATGATAACAGTAACTAATAATTGTGTGTTGCGCTTTACAAGTTACAGACTGTTAATGTTATTGAAGCACATAACAACCCTGTGAGGTAAGTTTTACTAATGTCTTTTTTTCTAGACAAGGAAACTGAAGCTTAGTGAGATTAAGTGATTTGCCAAGGTCACACCGCTAGCCAATGACCAAGTCAGGACTCACACCCAAGTCCTCTGACTCCAAATCTCATGCCCTTTTGCACTGCACTATGCAGATAATGAAGGACAAAACCCAGGGGGAGAGGCCTAAGTGCAAGAAACCCCAAGGGGTTCCATTATGAACATTGTCATAGTTACACGTTTTATATGAAACTAAGTATTGATGATATATATATCTAATTTAGAGAACACCAAGATCCGATCACATGTTGAATTAACCTTTTAGAATTTTTGATAGGAATATTTAAAGCTATTTAAAAGTAAATGCATACTTTATTGCATGGATTTCTGACCATTTAATATCTTTATTAACCAAGCTATAGGATCACATCAAAGCTTCTAGAACTGTAATTCAAACCTATTGCTGGGAATTATACTGCATGTGTGACTGTATGTATGTAGTTTGAAATGTGTGCATATCTCTGTATAACTTTTTATATAGTGGTGATGAGAAGATAGCTTCTGCACAGTTCTTAGTCTACAGTTAAATAGATCACAAATCTGACTTCATGATTTTATGTCAGATTTCATAGTTTCAACTAATTTTGGAAGTGAAATTACATACCAATATCTGAACATTCCTTTCTTAGGCACCAGAGCAAACTAGCTCGATTTCCTTTGCACTTTTTTACTTGTCAACATTTATTGACAGTTCTTAGCTTTTAAGTCTCTTCACCTCAGCAAATTAGGGATCAGACTGCAGCCTTCTTCTACAGAGTAGCTGATTGATAAACTCAAGTTTCGAGCAAAGCAGGTGTGTGCTAGACAAGCACAGAAGAGTTTCACCAGGGCCAAGGAATTTACTATCAGAGAGATGGCCAAACTCATGTGGCACTAAATGATGAACACAAAAGCTGCACTCAAGAAGCATCTAATAGATGAGCTTTGGACTTCTGATCTATGCAGTATTCAACATCACAGAATGAAATGTAACGGAGGACAGTGCACAGCCATGTAATCCACTTTCTCCTGCTGTCCACTCTTTGGGCAATGAAGCTGATCGTTGGTGGAGCAGAATTTCTTTAGGGAACAGAACCAGGGGATTTTCTAGATAGAAAATGGTAGCTTCCAAAAGGGGATGCTACATCTTTTCTAGTAGCTGGCTCAGTTATGCATTTCAAATACATGCCAAGAGAGTAAACTAGCCCTTAGATAATTCTTAGATGCATTGCTAAAGAAGGCAGGATTCGGGGTTGAGTGGCATCATTTGCACAATTTGTATCTTGCTCAGGGTGGGAACCTTTGTAGCTAAGTGCCTCTAGCAGAGGCATTTTTTGTTGTTTTTGATTTTTTTAAAAAGCTGCACTAAATGAACCCTCTTTTTCAATCCATTGTATAGTTCAGCATTTTGAACTATGACCAGCTCGCTATTTCTTGAGCTGGAACTTGCTCATTTCTATGGTTGTTTTTCCATGAAAGTTAAGAAGGCCTGGCCTTGGCCTTTTGTTTCTTCATGAGAAGGGTGACACTGCCTATAAATGTTTCTTACTCTGAAACACTCCGAATGTGAGGCTGCAGTCGGGTTGTTTCTGGTGGTTTGATAATGGCTTGCATGCTGCTTTTTGGCTTTCTGTCTCTGTTCTGGGGGATCAAACTGTATCTCAACCCATGTTTCTCTTCTGTCAACCACAGCTTCACATTCATGTCCTGCCCTCTGCTTTTTCCATCCCCCAGCATACTGAGGTGTATCCATACCGAGGTAGGTCCATGGAAAGTAACAGTTGCACTGAAGTGCTTGCTATTTCACACAAACATCATTTCATACTTCCAGTTCCTCGGATCTTCTAAATCTGTCCTATGTCTAAATCAGGGTACTTGACAATCTTAGAGGGACTCTACTGCCTTTGTGCCGGTGAGTTCATCTTCCTACCAAAACCGTCAGTGGCACCGCAGCATCCACAACCTTCAGTTTCCCGGGAAGCACAGGATTAATCTTGTCAGCCGCAGTTCATCTGGAACGTGTTCATGTGCAGTACTCAAAAAAAGTGTGCGCTCCTCCCAATGCAGGAACTGTTTTTTCAGGCAGAATATGTATTTCTTATTTCCGAAAAACAATTGTCATTCTTCTCTTCTCATAAAAAGTGTATGAACCAAAGCTGCTAGGAGCAATGCCTCAAATAACCAGAAATGACCTTTTGTTGATACAAATTGTATCTCTTTTTTTCCTGATTGTATAGTAATAAATGTACAAAACTCATCTTAAACTAGGTTTGGTACTGACTTTCACCATGATATTTGTGGCACTATGTGTCACAGGGAAGTAGCCCAGGGGTCATGAGAGAGCTTTTATTTCCAAAGGGCAGTAGTAGTTTATAGACAAAGACAGTTTTTCAAGGCCTCTTTATTATTATGTGCACAGCTATTGTGTATAGAGTTTCAAGCATTATATTGCAATAAGTTGTGTTTAACCTATTAGATTTAATAAGTCCTTGCAGAAGGAATTTTGTATAAAAAGTGTCAGTGTTAGTGAATTATCTGCAACAGTCTATAAGTGGAGCTATATAATTATGAATGCATAAATCCATCTTGGTTCTTAGTGAAGTTATTAGAGAATATTTTCTTTATATGGAGGCCTGCATACTTCTTGACTTTTCCATTTTGTCTGTAATTATAAAACAGCAAATACAAAGAAGCAGTGGAACCCCCTTGGCTTCCTTGATAATGACATCAGGCTTCCTTCCTGGGGCCAAGTGGGTGTCCTTCAGAATATTTACCTCAAAGCACTCAGCAGGGGTTACTGCACAGTGTTTTGTGTGGTTTTCAAGCAGCAGTACATTTCGCTAGAGGTGCTTTGCAATTTTAATTCTTCCACTGAGTTTCTTAACTCATGGAAAGTCTACGCTTGATTAGACCTTAGATTTTGTAGATTTTGTGATTTTGTTGTTGTCGTTATGGTTCATTTCGACCTGAGGAAGTGTGACTCTGGAGTGGCATGTTCAATCCAGGGAGCCTTTTCAAAGGTAACATACAGCCATTGCACTCTCTCTTAAGGTGCAGAGTACGGAAGGGAGAATGACAGATGCCTTTGGGAATGGTCTACAAAACTTTTCTTCTAAGTAATTATTTCTCCCCCTCTCCCTCTCCTTTTCCCTCTCTCTGCTAGTTTCCAGGGGATACTTCTAAATCCCATCTTTTCCATTTTAGAATAAATTATCTTTATACACTATTCAAACAATAATACCCATTTAACCTTTGGCACTGGGTTTTCTTCTAACATAAAATAATTCCTTTTGAGAGGCACTGAGTACCATTCTATCTATGCTGTAGAAATGCCCTTTTTGAGGGCCAATTTCTTTTTTTATTTTTTAATCCTCACCTGAGGAATCTTTTTATTGATTTTTAGAGAGAGGACAGGAGAGAGGGAGAGACAGAGAGAGAGAGGGAGAGAGAGAGAGAGAGTGAGAGAGAGAAACATTGACCAGTTGCCTCCTCTATGTGCCCCGACCGGGGATCGAACCCACAACCTGGGTGCCCTGACCGGGAATTGAACCCATGACCCTTTGCGGCACGGGAAGACGCTCCAACCAACTGAGCCACACTGGCCAGGGCTAAGGGCCAATTTCAATACACTTTGTTTTTTTTATGTGAACCAGGTCTGGAACAGTACAGGGAAAGTAATGTCGAGCTGTCCAAAGAGTCCTGCTCAGGTCTCCTGCTAACCCTTCTCTGCCTTCCCCTAGTTTGCTTCTCCTCGGGTCTGACACTGAGGAGTGCATAGTCTTCAACTGAAATGACAATACAGTTAGTTCTCATTGGAAACCAAACCAGTATATTTTGGGAACCTGCTTGTCTGAAGTAGTCGATGCCTTTGAAAAGACTCAGAATATTCAATATCTATCTTATTGTAGCTAGCTATATACATAGAAAGACTATTTTTAATCCTGGTTTGTGAATCATTGAGCTATAGTAGTTTGCTTTATCTATTTGTAGGATTAAACAATACTGTTTAATGGTTGTAAACTTTTATAAAACCTCTTTGGGTTTTTTGTTTGACCCAAACATAATGTAAGTCTCAATGACAAAATATACAAAGCCAACCAGAGGTGAGTGAAAACATATTCCGTCCCAGGTTCTGTCTGCACGTGCAATGCTTTGCAATTTGTTCTTACTAGCATGAATGTGCTATGACTACTTCATGAGGTTTTAAGTTGTTTCACCTACAACAGTGATGGAAAATGGTGTATCATTGACAACAATGAACTGTAACCACACTTATTTACTGCATAAACGATTTGTCTACTAACCAGTATTGGCTCTGTTTCTTAAGAAAAACACCAAAAGCCATACCACACCTACACATACACACACACTCTAGGTTGCTCTTAAAAAAATAAATTTCTGTCCTTGGGACTTGCATCTTGGGATAAGCTATAAGGAGAAGGGTCTCCCCAGACGAGTTCACTTCAATTTTATCACAATAGGCATACACACACTCCAATTTTTGCCTACTAACACAGCTCTAAATGCTAGTTGACTGCAGCTTCCCAGGTGGGTCTAAAAAAGGTGGAGAGCTCAGATTTGAAGCTTATTTCTGTAAGCAATCTATAATTACTTTTTCCCCTGAATAGTCTCATGGTCACAGAGGCATCGTCTGCTGGGCCTTAACTAGAATAGCAGAGCTAGAAGCTGCCTGGCACCCTACACTCCCGAAACTGAAGTGATTTGACCAAAGCTGACCAGGGAGTTAGTGGCAAAGCCAGGAATGAAACGATGGCCTCATGGCTCCAGGCCAGTGAGTCCACCACTGTGGTG